GCTTTTTCTTTCCTCCTCCTTGATGCCTCATGGATCAGCTTTGGGGGAGTTGGAAATTTTGGAAGGCATTTTGTTGCCTTGACTTCTTATGTTTCTATTGTTTTGTGTTTGTTTTTTAATTTTATTTTGTGCCTAGATACGTAATCGGTTATAGTATTAACTTTAACTCTTTAGGTAGTCTGCTTTTCAGTGAGGTACTTAGGGCATAGCTAACTATAGTCTCAATATCTGATCACCTCTGTTAACATGGGAGGAAGGGATGCATTGTAATTGGCCCACCACCTAGTTCTCTGGGAATAGATCACAGCATTTGTTAATATCACAAAATAGTCCAGGTACAATAGACCCTTGACTTACAAACTCAATATTTTCCTAAGGGCTAGTTTTAATTCAGGTTGCAAGTTGAAGGCTTAAGATCCTCTACATAGCCTTCAAAGTCTCTCTCCTGTATACAGGCAGAGCTCAATATCCTTAGAGAGACACTGGCCCAGGATTGCTCAGTTAACTCCTTATAGGAAAGTATGTTGTAATGTTCTTGTCAGGACTCTTTAAGGGTTAAATCTATATCCGAGACCATCTAGAAGCACAAGTGGCCAGATTTAAGGTCATAACTCAAGACTTTGGCCATAAGTTAAAACTAAAATTCTGGTTATAGCCCTCGTTGTTTGTATGTCAACCCAGTTGTAACTCTGAGGGTACACTACTGGCATACAGAGAAAACCTATTAATAGCAAGAAGTATGTGGCCCTGGCAGTATCAAGTAAATCAGCAACAGTAATATGGATCAAGACAAACTAGATGTTGACCCACCATAAAAAGTAATAATATACCACTCTTAACCTTAGAAAAGAAATCTGCAATTATATTCTAAACCTTAAGACTAACCAAATGTTGTCATATAGCAAATATCTACTAAATGTGATAATGATACCTCCATCAGTGATAGAAAATAATTTGATAGCAGTAACTTTTCAGTAATTAATTCCTGGATGTCAAAATGGATGAGATACTGAACAGCGAAATCAAAAGATTGATTTTTAAAATGATGAATGATTTCTAAAAGGACACAAATAGCAGAATGAATGAATGAAGATAGCAGAAGATATGAAAGAGCAATTGAGAGGAAGAGATTTTGTAAAAGAATGAAACAGAAGTCTTGGAAGTATAAAGCTCACTAAGTCAAAGCAAAAACTCAGTGGAAGGCAAGTGTCGTGGCACATGCCTATAATGTCAGCTACTTTGATGGCAAGTTTAAAGCAAGTGTGGGCAACTTATTGAAACCCTGTCTGAAAATAAAATTTTAAAAGGAGGTGGGGATGTAGCTCAGTGGTAGAATACTTGCCTCCTATGAGTTAAATCCCTAGCACCACAAAATGTAACAAAATTTCAGTGGGTATCTTCACCAATAGGCTAGACCAAGCAGAAGGCAGAATTTTAGGGCTTGAAAACAAAGTCAGTGAACTATTGCATTTAGACAATAATGAAGAAAAAAATATATAAACAAAACATTAACAGCATCTTAGGCACATTTAAAATACCAAACAACAAATTTCTGACATAAGAAAAGGTGCTAAGATACAAAGTCACAGGAAGTCAATTCTGTGAAATAATAGCAGAAAATTTCCCAAATCTTGGGAAAGATATGGACATCCAATACAGGAGACATTTAGAACCCTAAAAAAGCAAACCCAGGAAAGAACTTCCCTATGTCATATTGTAGTTAAAATGCCAAGAGTACACAACAAGGAAAGAATACTGAAAGCTCCAAGAGAGAAACAAAGTCATTTACAATGGCAGACATATTAGCATAATAAAAACTAAAAGCAGGTAGCAGGGCATGAAATGATGTATTTGAAACCCTCAAGGAAAATAAATGCCAACCTGAATTAACTGTATCTAGCAAAAGTATCTTTTAAAATTGAAGGAAAAATAAAGAACTTCCAAGATGAACATGAACTAAAGGAACTCAGGATTGCTAAGCCAACATTGTAGAAGATACTTAAAGGAGTCATACATGGAGAAGAGCAAAGTAAACACAACCACAAAAATAAAAAGTAGAAAAGCAAATGAGAACTGGGAAGGAATCAAATATTAGAAAAACAACACAATAGGAATTAGTACCTATCTGTCAATAATAACCCTGAATATAAATGGTTTAAATTCCCCAAATAAAAGACACCACCAACTCACAGATTGGATTTAAAAAAAATCAGTAACAAACTGGACCGTGGTTGCTGGGCCATGGATGCAGCAGCTTCTGAGTGCCTGGTGACTTGAACACAGGGAAATACATCCTTAGGTGGCGCTGAGTGAGCAGGATATCCCAGAACTGTCTTCTCAAACCAAACTCTCTTGGGTAAGGTTACACTCTTATTCCCTTGCCTGTAATGGTGGGGTCTTGCTGATTCCTGAGATTATCTTTCTTGTGCCAGTGTAAAGTACTTGGTTTCTTTTTAATTGTGCTGACCTCTTTAGTAACTACATTTCCTTTGACCTCAACTTTGCTTGTGTTTTTTCTTGCCAAATTAAAATTTTTTCAAGCCATTCTCTGCTTTTTGCTTGTGCTTCTCACTACAAATCTAGCTAAAAGCCATGTTTTTTTGTTTGTTTGTTTGTTTGTTTGTTTGTTTGGTTTTTCTTCGGTACCTGGAACCGAACCCACGACCTTGCGCTTGCCAGGCAGGCACTTTTGCCGCTGAGCTAAATCCCCAGCCCCTTGGTACCCATGTTATAGCCTGAACAATGGGCTATCTGGAAATTTCCTTCATCTTATTTATTGGTCCATCATTTTTAAACTCAACCTCCCACAGAGTCTCAGAATATGGACAAAGTGTGGCAGGTTCTTTGCCAGAATGTACCATGAATGACTCCCAGTCCAGTTCCCAATAGGGTCTATTCTCTTCTGAAACTTCATGGATATCTTTACTGTATGCATTCCTGTCAGCATTCTTGTCTTCTCAGTTCCTACCAGAAATGTCCATTAATCTCTACTTACAGCATTACAAGGCATCTCTATCCCACTTCTTCACACTTCTTCTATAAAGGCTTCTGAACTGCATGGTCAAGTGACTCCACTTCTGTGGTACCAATTTTCTGAACTGGTCTCTCTTCCTATTGCTAGGACAGAATACCTGACATTTACAACTTAAAGGAGGAGAGGTTTGTTTCGGCTCACAGTGCAAAGGTGTGGTGGAGGAAAGATAAACAGCTCATGGCAGCTGGGACGCAGAATAGGTTGGAGAGAAAGAGTCCAGGGACCATGTATAGTCCCCGGGGTCACAAACCCATAACGCATAACCCACAACCCACTGCCTTCAAATAGGCTCCTTCTAATAGCCCATTAACCTATGAACTCATCAATGAGTGAAGCTGTTCATGAGGTTCATGTCCTCACAATCCAGTCACCTCCCCAGAATCTCTTATTCCAGCCAGGCTGACAGTAGTAACCAGCACAACCTAATCATTTTTCCTCTGCCCAGTTATTCTCAGCATTTAGGATCTTTCAGCAAATGACTAGATAACACTGACTATATTCCAAGCTGTCTTCTGGGTACTTACATATTGTAATAAGTACAATAGTTAAAAATCCCTGTCCAAGCCAGGTGTGTTAGTGCACACCTATAATCCCAGCACTTAGGAGATTGGGCTACATAATGAGTTCAAAGCCAGCCTAAAATAAATAGTGAGACCCTGTCTCAAAAAACAAACATCCCTGTCAAATGAGTGACATTCTAGTAGACTGGCTAGAAAGATACCTTGAGCTTGCCATGGTTATTTTTCTTCCTCTATTTTCTTTCGTGACTAGGTTTTAATCTTGTTCACATGACCATTTGGGAATTTAGATGTGGCTGTCATGCTTGCGGTCATAAGTAATACTACATTTCTCAGTCAAAATAGTCTCCGTTAAGCAAGTTCAAGTATTCCAAAAGTATTATATTAAGAACAGACAAATTGAGATTGCAAAATGGTTTTTCAGAAATTTAAAGAAAAATATTTGGTCAGAATTCATTTATGTCAAAGTGAAAGTTGGTTTTTATTGTTAAAATATGCACTATATTTTAGTCTGACTTATCTGGCTATTTCTTTAAGTGCTCAGTTAATTATAAGAAGACAAAGTTACAAATTTTCTCATGCTGGGGGAGGGCAAACTTTACAAAAAATACTAAAAACATTTACTAGCTAAATACTTGTTTGCAAATTTGCAGTACAAGTTCAAGGCCAGCCTAGGATACATAATGAGTTCTAGGCCAGTCTGAACTACATAGTAAGACCCTGTCTCAAAAAAAACAAGCAACAAAAAGAAAGAGAAAAAACTTGTTATTGTATTCTAATTGCAGTATAAAAATTTCCTATAATTTCTGAAGCAATCACTTTTGAAGTATAGTTCAGTACTCAGTGTCTGATTAGTTGAATTTCATGGTTAACTGACTTTTAAACTACATGGACCATTCATTTTTCAAAATGTGAGATAATGTGATTTAGACCATTAAAAGATGGTCTAAAAGACCATTACAAAGATGATAATAATTATTAGAAAAATGTCGACAAAATATTTATCAAGTGTTTAAGATATTGTACTCACTTTATGTGCAGTCTTAATACACTTACAATCTTATGATGTAATCATTGTTATTTTACTGTAACATTTTATAATAGAGAAACTGGGAGAAATTCAGTGACTTGATCAATATCACATGGTTGGTATAGCTGATATTTGAACCAATGAGTATGAGGCCAGAGCTCCTAATGACCTCACTAGACACCCTCTAGAATGTACACATAATTTGGTTAGGTAATTTAAAAATGCATTGTAGATTTTACAGTGATTCAGTATCATGAGTTAATCAGTATGTGCAACCTTACCCTTAAAATAAAAATAATAATTTAAGGTTCATTGCTGTTTGTTATCGAGCCATTCGTTTTGGTTATCTTTACACCTCAGTGTTTTTGATAAAATACTTCCAAGGACTAATTACTGTTTTGCTTTTTCCTTTTGACAGCATTGGATTCAAAGGCTAACAATTTGTCCAGTCTGTCCAAGAAATACCGCCAGGATGCGAAGTACTTGAACATGCGTTCCACTTATGCCAAACTTGCAGCTGTAGCTGTATTTTTCATCATGTTAATAGTGTATGTGCGATTCTGGTGGCTGTGAAGTAGTAAATACAGTCACTGATACGGGAGAACATAGAACCTGGCAGGTGTATGTTTTCAGGAAGCTGAGCTCACAGGGAAATGTATTAGAACCCAAATGGAACTTCTGCCTCTAAAGACCTTGGAAGAAAACACACGTCCTGAAAATGAAAGATCACACCTCATTTAATGAAGCTTAACCCTATATGGAAAGTCTCTTTTGGGGGCAGCGGCTTTCTCTGGGTGCTAAGCCATATATGTTAGGGAACAGTAGATTGTTTTGTTTTTTTTCCCTCCCAGTAAGAGTTTAAAACAGCACTGACTGGGACATTAATCCTCTAATAGAGCCATCAGTGGGATGTAAGGTAACCAACCATGCTAGCAGCATTCTGAAATTCCTTCAAAGAAGGCAGCCATTTGGGAAGTTTTTTGACTTTAAGTAACATTCCTTTTGTTGGTGACATTTGTGATTTTCTATAATCTGAGTTTTTGATGACCTTTCAAAGCAGACTCCAAGTATGTGAAGGTTAATTGCTATGCTGCGCAGATCCTGTCTGTTGGCCCCTGGAGGAAGTAAATTTTGTTTTCTTTTTATATTTCACTTATTTCCTAGTTGCTTTAGAGTTAAATGAATTATGTTAAGATGCCTTGAAATTACATAGCACTCCTTGATTAAGAAGCTAAAGTTTTTTCTCTCGTTTACCTTTTGAACAAAAAGACTTAAATTAGCACATTTATTTTGCGGCATTTGGTTTATATTAATATGAGAGCAATATAGCATAGTATAGCCAGAGGCCCATGGCTTAATAAAAAGAAAAGCCCAGCTTAAAACTACTTTGTCATCGCTCTTGCTCACTTTGTTCACTACAGTTTTTTCCACTCCTTGTTTCCTTTCTGCCATAGTTTGTTAACATTTTAAAAATTCCGCTGTGCCCAGTAATTTCACATCCCATAAACATCCTCAGGATATTCTCAAATTTTAAAATGGAAAATGTTCAGCTGTATAGTTATTTAAATTTAAAACTTGTAGATCACCTACTAAAACTTACAACTTCATTTATCTGAGAAGTCTCTGAGAGCACTTCATTCCTATTTCAGTTTATATAAATTCTCCAAGAATGTTCTAGAGATAGGTAATTCATTTACAGTGGTTTCTACTAATAAAAATACCTATGATTATTTTTCCTTTTTTGCTCAGGGATAATGGGGATTTCCTTTTACTTTCTGAGGTGGAGTTTTTTAAATGGGGAGAATAGGCCTCTTGAATGTTATCACAAGGGTCTACAGTCTATATAACCTGTAACTCCTATGCATACCATAAATATTTCTTTAAATCCTATAAGGAAGATGAGCCTTATTACTTCTGAACATCTTTGGAAAGATAACTAGTGGGCAAATTTATGACCCAAAGGAATAATCAGAGCTACTGTCCTGATTCCTGGTAGGGAAAACAGTCTTATTTCCTTATGACACAGCAAATAGAAATGCTTATTTTTATTTCTTATAATTTACAAAACTAGAATAATTTTTTTCTTTCTATTATGGACCTAAAATTTGTTCATTGGAGTTTTGTGCATGAAACCAAAGGTTACTTTTTACAGAGAATAAGTGCTTTTTAGTCCCCTAAAAGGTTTATTCTTTGAGTAATGATATTGACAATAAAAGTCTTTGAAAGGCTGAGAACCTAAATAGCGGTACCGTAGCATTCGGTGCTTCTGTAGGAGTAAGGGTGGCAGCTCATTGTTGAGAGTTGCATGCTGCAGCCTAATGGTCAGCAATGAAATAAATACTTCTAGAATGTTCCCTGCAGTGTGAAGTTTTGTTGCCTAGTTTACTTATGTACACATATCCTTTATAAATGCATTTCTACCTAATTTCAGTGGGGTAATTGAAAAGAGGTGGGGTAAATGATGAACAAGAAAGTGGTTTTTCGTTCAGGGCAGTGGAAAAATGAAAGAATAAGACTCAGTACATTCTTTGCTGTTCTTAATACGAAAAAGCAAGAAGATATAACTAGATGAAATATATCAGCAAACCAAACACCTAAAATGGAACATGATAAGTACTGTATGAAGGTATAGAAGCATAGTAAGACAGGACACATTTCTATAGAAGGAGAAGAATGGGACATTCTAGGGAGCATCAGTGGTATGTGCAAGGCATACAAAAAGAGTGACACACATTTTGGAGATGTAATAGCTTTGTTCAGTTTAACTCAGGATAAGCAGAGGTGACTGAGGAGACAGGAAAAGCTAGACTGGTATACCGTAATACACGGACTTGTCTGCCAAGCTAAGGTGAAGACTTACAGCTTCAAGTGAGCATTTGGCCATAACATAAAAGCTAAATTACAGAGCGATAAGGTTGAAAGTAGGGAGATGAGCCAGGTATGGTGGCACATGCCTATAATATCAGCACTCAGGAGGCTGAGGCAAGAGGATCACCATGCGTTTGAGGCCATCCTTAACTACAATAGGGAGTTCAAGGCCAACCTGAACTGTATGAGACCCTGTCTCAATAAAATGAAGAAGTAGGGAGATGAAACTAAGATACCATCAGACACAGAATTAAACAAGCCAGTTGCAAGTGACTTTCAAGACAGGACTGATCAGAGGTACCAAATTTTTTTTTAGGACTTAGTTCTCACATTGACTTTTGAAGTATGTTCACACTATTCTATGAATAAAGGAACTTAGTGGCAATAGAGCTCTGAGGCACTGAAGAGTTAAGCAATTTGCCCAAAATCACAGAGCTAGAAAGTGATGAGCCAAGATTTGAACGTAGGCAGTTTGGCTCTGGAATCTCTGTTTTTAACCACCATACTACCCAACCAAGCAATCAAATAAAATATGCACTAAAAATATATTGTAAATTTAGCAACCAGAAATTTGACCATGCAGGTAGAAGTAATTCTAGAGGGCTGGTGATGGAAGCCAGGTTGTAGTGGGTTGAGGACTGGACCATTGGAATTGAAGAACTACTCTCACAAGAAGCTTTTCTGTTCTTGTGACACAGAACTTCATGGCTTAAGACATCTCATAAATACCAAAATTTAGAAATATATGGTACCTTGTGCATCATCTAGTCATTTAAATGTCTAAGAGTCATTTCTCAGCTTTTTTAGAAATCTTTGAAAACCTGCTAAGAGGGGTGCACCTTCTCCCAGAGAAATGTTCATGTGTACATGCGTACCATGTATGTACCATTTCAGGCTATTCAAGGACAACAAAGCCTGCTTATCTTGTGGTCCCTGATCCCTCAATTAAGAACACCACATACATAGGTTGTAGAACTCAAATTGAAGTACTCAAAGGGCTTGAAAACTTGGTTGTGAGTTAGAAATATTTTACAGTTTGAACAACTTTTTAAATGAGATGTATTGAAATACTGTACAAAAGCATTTGTATCAAATAATATTTTCCTGTACTGCATTCAGATTTGGTTCTTCTAAAAAAAAATTGGGGGTCTCAGTTCCTTCAAATCACATGTAAGGAATTTGAAATTTATGTCTTCTACTTTTATCAGAAGTTTATCAGAAAAGCAAAAAGGAAGTGTGTAATCACTTTTGCTCACAGGATTTAATAAAATATGTGTAATAAAAAAATCTCAATTTAAATTCCCACCTTGTTGGGACTTGAGTGTTAGTGGCCACACAGTTAAGGCGGACACATTGGAGGTACTCAGCAAATATCTGCAGGATGTATGCACTGAATTATTTTTAAAAAGTACATCTTAAGTCTGGGAATGTTTTCAGTTGATCATCACGCCCACGATTGCTTTTATGTTGTACAGGCAATATTTAATGATCTTTTCATATCAACTACTTCACCACTTTTTCGTATGAAAAAGTGACTTCAGTTTAGTGATTAAATACCTTGATCAACATACATATAAGGTAAATACCACGCTGACATTCAAACCTGGTCTGAGGCTTCGTTTTAACTACTGACAGCAGTGTGCACTGCTAACCTGGTTACTTCTTTGCAGGTTGTGTGGTAACCATTGAGGTTTGCTGGACTGGCCATATAGGGGAAGGTAGTAAGACCAATAAAAAGACTGACAGTGATATCTATTTGTATGCTTTTTTAGTCACTTGCATTAATTTACAGTGTGTTACTTACACACTTAAAAGTTTAAAATAAAGTTTCTAATTGGTTTTTCTTGATTTTTCCTCATCTTTTCACTTACTTTTTCTTCTACATTTCTCAGTCCATTTTCCCTGTATCAGTTTGGATTTACAAATACAAAACTCCTTCCTAGGGGGCTGGGGATTTAGCTCAGCAGCACCTACCTGGCAAGCGTGAGGTTGTGAGTTCGATTCCCAGTACTGGAAAAAAAAAAAAACCCAAAACAAACAAACAAAAAAAAACCTCTTTCCTAAATGGTCTTTTTTATATTTTAAAAAGAAGACACTAAGGAATTCTAAACCAAAGCTCAAGAATTTGTTATAGCCCACCAACTTTATAAATATTTAAATCAATATTTTTGTTATAATTACATTATAACCTTTCCAAAATCATTCACAAGCTGCATTTTTATCTACTAGTTGAACACTGGTATAAAATGGAAATCTCTGAAGAATAGTGGAGATTTATATGAAACACAATTTGTTTACGTCACTTGCAGCAGGTAAGTGGATAGAGGATTGAACTGTGGGTCAAGATGATCTAGGTCTGGATCACTACTCCAGTAGTAGGGTGTCTTGGTTACTTTTCTCTTGTTGCTGAGATAAAATGCCCAATGCCCAAACTGAAGAGGGAAAGATTTATTTAGCTCACAGTTTGTGGAGGTTTCAGTCCATAATCAGCGGGCTCCAAGGCAGGGTGGCACATGACAGAGGGCAACAGTTCATGGCGGTGAAGACGGCAAAAGCAGCAAGACCAGAAAGGGAGGAGCAAGAGCAAGCCTCTTTACCTGCCTTATATTGTATGCAGGCTACCCGCCCCAGGATGGGTGCACTCCCACCTATAATCCCAGCATACCATGAATCAATCAAAACCTCTAGAAGCCCACCCCATGACTGCAAGAGGCTGTGGGGGGACATCGAGACAAAACATAAGGCTTTAGATAAATTACTTAGGCATGATATGGCTTGATTTGCCCACATGTAAAATGGGAATGAAATCTAATTTACCTGTTTCTTTTGGAGAGGAGAAAAGGAAATACAGTAATAGTTGTGAAGATTTTATAAACTTTGAAATATTATTATCACTATATTACAAATATTACTATCACTATCATTATTATGATGATTATAACTGCTCAAGGAAAGCATTTGTGACTAGGGCAGCTCTACACATTCCTCAGTAAACTTCTATCTAGTTCCACAGTTAATACTGATAGAACAGTATCCCTGTTGTGGTTGTAGTACGAATGGTGTTTAGGCTCCTTCCGCCTGGTCCATTTCGCAAGCCATGACTGAATGTTCCCAGAAGAGGGCAGCAAAACCCCAGTCCAAAGGCTCTGTTACTTCCTCAACGCTTCCAACCAACTTGGAGGGAAAACAATTACACTATGAACGTAATAGTCTTTTTAAATGATCTTTAGGCCAGGCATGGTGATACATGCCTGTAATACCCGCCTTTGAGAGGTTAAGGCAGGAGGATTGCCATAAATTCAAGGCCACCTTTTACTCATTTCAAATAATACTTCGCTTACAAGTCCCCTGAAAGAAATAATTATTTATTTAATCTTGCTTTAATGATCTAACATATGTTCAGAAAACTTTAGCCATGGTTTCCTGTTGTGTCACATAGCATCAGTTTTTAAGTAGTGGGGTTTGGGGTAAGAAGAAAGTAAGGTCTTAGGCCCAATTCTTCCAAATTAAGATGCCTTGCTAAGTTCAAAAAGTGATTCTCAATAGTGTCTACACATCTTTGTGTCACATACAGAAAATGCTATCCATATCTAATCTTTTTTATTTTATTATTTAAATTTGTTTTAAAGTATCCTTGTTCTTTTAAACCTTTAATCAGTGAATCATCTTGTAATAACAGCAGTTGGCTGGTGATGGTTTTTAATAGCATAAGACGTGTGACCGAAAAGTAGTGACTGTTTCATACAGTAAGACACATTGCCATTAATTCCTCTCAAAAATTCCTCATTTCCAACACACATGTTCTATCATCACTGCCACTTTCTGAAGCATTTCTGGAAATCTTTCATGTTTTATTTTCACTCTGTGGCTACCTCAGTGTCTAACTTGATTAAAAATGTTGACTTTTCCTGGTCATTTTGACTTTGAGGAAAAGCCAGCAGTTAGATGGTGACAGATCCACTGAGTAAAGATGAAGAAACTGTCATGTTTTTATGAGCCCACATTTAAGTTGGGTGACACTTGATAGCAGCATTTACTATATTTTTATCACACCTTGTAAAGACACTACTTTAGGAAGTAAGAATGATGGTCTGTTCATTCAAAATGTTGAAAATGAGGGGGAGTATTTTGAGGAGGATAAATGGTAATGTGTCCTTTACTCCAGTAAAATTTTTAACTTAAATGTTCACTATTTATTTTGATTATACTATGTATTGGTTACTTTCACACATATTAGATTATTAATTTAAATGTTCACTATATATTTTGATTATACTATGTATTGGTTACTTTCACACATATTATTTGATCCTCACTACAGCCCTGTGAGGTTGATAGCCAGTATCCCAATTTTATGGATAAATTTTCTCACCTGTGATCAGAATAGCTGCTGTTTGCTTGAAGAGCAAAGTGCAGGCGGATGTCCCATATGTCAAGAGGGCCCCAACGGTGAGTAATTTCTGCCACTTAATAAGTGCTATAAGAGCCACTTCAGTGTTTGATGTTTTTTCTGTCTGCTTTATTACAAGAGATGGGATAGGAAGGCTTTCAGTTTTTCAATTCCTTCCGCTTTTGCCGGTTCATTTCAGGCTTTGCTCTTTTGAAAAAAAACTACCCTGTTTTCCATTCCACCCCCTTTACCACCACCCCCAAGTCGGAGTCCTGTTTCCATCCCAGCTAAACCTCTTCCTGTTCTTGAGAATTGCATCACATTCTTGGCTTAATGTACACCAACACCCCCACACTGGCACCAGGGAACATATAGGCTTTCTTTATTGGTTGAATGTTCTTGTCTGGTGAGTACAGAATAAGTCACTTACTTCCTGACCTCTAGCCTTGACTCTGGGAAAAAAATAGAGAAATTCCTCAGATTTTTGTTTATTTATAAATCTCCTTCACTCCAGCCCTGTTCAGGAATAAACAATATATGAACTAGGGACAGTGTGAAAGGGCATTTAGGGTTCAGGGTATACTGTGTACCTTGCTGAATGAAGTCTCCTTTGCTGTTTCTATTCTTCACTCCTAGTTCATTTTTTAACCTAGTCTAGTCAGGCATTGGCTCCCACTCATTGAAAGGTATTTCACTAAGGATATTAATGCCGCCCACCCTTATATTACTATATTCAGTTGATACATCAGTCTTTACCTTGCTGATACCTGAGCACTATCGTATACTGCTGACCACATCCTCCTTGATAGACTCACTGTATTCCTTTGGTTTCCATGCACTATTATTTTTTTCTACCTCAACCATGGATCTTCACTATTCTTTGTAAACTTTTTTCTCTGTATACCCAGAAAATGTTGAAATCCCCACCACCACAAGACCTTGTTCGATGTTGCCTCTTTCCCCTGACATTCTCTATGAGAAATCTCATCCTTTTCCATGGCATTGTGAGTGAGACCTGTACACCAATGACATCCAAGTCTATGCCTCCCTGAACTCCAGGTTTATATATTCAACTGCTTTCTAGAACTTCTCCAACTTGCAATTCCTGAAAGCATATTAACCAACTCATTCCTTCAAGCCTGTCTCTCTGATAAGTATATCTAAGAAAGTGCCTGAATGCAGTTCACCCAGCAGCAATGGCCAGAAACCTAGGATTCATCCTTGATTACTCTTGCTCACTCTCCACATCCAATCACTAACCAAGCTAGTAAAATCTCCTTTGAATCTATCTATTCCCCATTCTCATTGTCACCAACTAGCATAAATGATTACCATCTATGTGAGTTTTTATGCTTTCTTTTGCTAGCCGCCTCCTCACCATTTTTCTCCCTTTGGGTCATTTCCCACCAGCAATCAGGATATTCTTTATTTAAATGCAATTCTGATAAATTTATCCCTGGTTTTAAAACCTTTTAGTTGCTTGCTAATGTCGTCAGGACGAAGTTCAAACTTTTTATCGTGGCTCATAAGCTCCTCATGATCAGCAACCTGCCAGCAGTCTCTACTCACACATACTAGGCTCCAGTGGCTCAATATACTCTGCTTCCTCTTGGTTCTAGGCTTTCACAAATGCTGTTTCCTTTGCCTAGAGTATTCTACTACAGGGCCTCAAATGTATCCAGACTGGTTTCTACCTCAGATTGTCATCTTATTCCTGAATGAGAACTGAAACTAGGTACTAAATTTTTAACTAATTCTTGAATTAAAATCATACCCTACATGAAAATGAATTTGAACTGTTTCACTGGGGATTGACTTTTACCATGACTAAATGTAAACTGGAACATACTTTAAAAAATTCTACTGGAATGTTTTCTTGATTGTTATTCATCATGACATTTTATCTTTGGAATCTTTCTTCATTTCCGTCTGGCTTCTCCCACTCTCTTTTCTTATCTTTCAACCTGTACCCTCTGGTTGCCCTACACTTGCACCTAGATAGATCTAGCTTGCATGCTGTAGTAGCTGCTCTGAGGTTGTGGTTAATTAGAACTGCTCAGACTGCAACAGGAAGGCATTAAATCGAAAGCAAGGGGGAGGAAGTACAAACCAATACCCACCACAAAGCTGCTGAGTGCCCAGCATGACCCAAGCTACACCCTCTGATGGGGAGTAGGGTGGAGAAGTAAGAAGCCAGGGAGTTTAATACATTGTCAGCACAGCCTAATTATCCACTTCCCATGATCCAGCCTTCCAGGGTCACCATGCATGTTACCAGGTAGTAGCCTAAGTAGTGGATGCTAACTGAAAAGCCACTAGAAATGCTAACCAAAAAGCCACTAGAGGCTGGGGGAAGGTCCCCAAGTTGAAATAAGTTCACCATCCCTCCCCACATAGCCCAACTCTGGACATGCAAATCCTAGGAGTTCCTTAGGAGTTTCTTAGGAGTTCCCTGTCT